TAAATAATATTAATGTATAATATATGATTAACAAATATTAATAATGTTTAACTTTTATCAATATTTATTTATAATTAATATTAATAAGAGTTATAATTGCAAAAAAAAATATTACAATAAGCTACCAAAAATGTTATTTCAAGTAGCGTTTTAATACGTTAGCTTATATGCATACAAACATGTACGCAAAAAATAAGCTAGCTTATTTAACCTAAAAAATTCTCTAATCATATCATTGAATCACTTGATGCGAGTGTTTTTTGGTTTTTATTTTTTATTGTTTTTCCCTGAAATATATAGAAATAAACGATTATTTTAAATTACAAAACAGTTACTGTACTATGCTAAAGTAGAAAATAACGTACCTGTTGAATATGCTCTTTAATTTAACTGTTGTTGCAAAAAAGAGTTTCTAAATCTTCAAACTTTCTACTTTAACATAGTTGTTAGAGATGTTAACATCGGACAACTGAACAATATTGATTTCATACAGTAATATCATAAAAATAATTCGAAAAAAATGGCCCCACTTTTTTTTTAAAAAAAATTCTAATATAAAAAATATGGTTCAAAGTGGTGTCCACACAATAAATAACCAAATGGTCTTCCTTTTTGTTTTATGTTGGTTGGTAGCCCCCACCATGCTTGTATTTTCTTTTAACACAAAGATTATTGATTTTGATAGTTGTTATTCAATGTGATTGTTGCATGGTCATCCCCATCATTCAAAATTGATGCTATTTTTCTTTTTTCGTTTTTCTTTTTTATTATTATTTTACAATTAAATTTTAATTTTTTTGAATAGATTACATTAAAATTAGATCAATTTTGAGTTTATTATTTTGGAGAACAAACTTTCGGAACTGTCATTTTAGTGTCTGAAACAAACTTTTAGTATTGTTTAAGGGTTTTCGACCTGTTCGACAGGTAACATGTTACCTGTAAATGATGTGGCATAGAATAAAAGAAATAACAAATGCTCGATAGATGATAAGAAAATCCACGTCAGTTATTTTTTTCTTACAACAAAAATAAAGTATAAAGTAGGTATCTAATCCTTTGTAAGTCAATCTTAGTTTTATATTAATATTAAAAAAACATATTTTATTTTAGTTTTAAAATTAAATTGTAAAAATAAAAAATATTAGATATTGTCCGTTTTGATCACAACTGAACTCACGGTTTTAAAACACATCAAATAAAGTAGGTATCTAATCCTTTGTAAGTCAATCTTAGTTTCTCCTCTCCAATCAATGTGGGTCTTACACATAAAGTATAAAGTCCCAAGCAGAAAATAACAGGCTAACATAATAACTTCGAATTCAACTTAAAACTATAGTATAAATTATTGGTAGTCCAGACTTATAAACAGCTCACAAATATCATTTATATTTACGCAAAACGGGTTGTTACAGAAAGCATATGATCGATATTTGAAATAAAACTCGACTGAAACGATAATATCATAATATTGAATATACATAACTTATCACTTAATCATTTTGTACTAAACCATTCAAAATATATTTCGGAACAAATCAAGTACAATCTTCCAATTCTAAAAAGGTTTACTTCGATATACCCCTAATTTGTACTATATTTTCCCTAGCAAGCGATGGTACAAAGAGTTATCCTACTAAATGTAGGAAATTTTACCCACATTATAATCAAATTTCATCAAAATGACCAAAATACCCATTAGCACCCGGGTCTCGGAAAACGAGGCTTTTAGGGTTCGACATGTATGACCCGGGCCTTTTCGTGCCGAGTAAGTCATGAACCGCGCTTTTAACCACAATCCACACTCCAAATGTACACATTCGCGGAAGACAAGCGTTGTGCGTCCTTTTGCACCGGAAAAATCGTCAATTATCAATAAAAACCGATTGACGTAAATCTCATGGCCGAACGAACACCTTCCTAGATGTCGTTACCACAACTTGTTGCATTGCATAAGCATTCTTGAGGGTTGGCATAAAAGTAGTCTTCCTCCTTCGGCTTCTCGTTAATAATTCTACGATCATCTGGTTGGCCCCTTCTTCTCTCGTGCGCCATTTTTATGGCGCCCGAGAACTCGGTCCACGAGAGCGTCCCATTATGGTGCAAATCTATCAACTCTACAACCCGTTTTCGATCTAGTCGTATAGTTTCCTTGAAACCAAGGTACCTGCATTTCAGATTTCCTTCGACAATTATACCAACGTTATCCGAATTACAGATAGCGCCTGGTCTTTTCCAACATCAAGCAGCAGACTGATCCAATAACCTCCAAATCGATTTAAAACAATAGTGAAAGTTATTGGTAGCCCACAATGATGAGGTTTTTCATCAAGTTTTTTCACAGGTTTTTCAGATCACATCATCGCCAACTTTTCAAACATACAAATAAACCGTACCTTCGGTGACCTTCGACGAGCTTTGCCATGTTACCATCGTAAGAAGGAACGAAGATGTTACTAGCAACCGACACTATGAAATCTAGAGCTGCCATTTGTGACGAATGATTCTGAAACTGTTTCAACTCTTCTGGATCTAATAACGTTTCTTTCTTCACCTGAAACAACAATCGAGCCTTTTAATCCCAAATCAACCAACTTGAAAGTACAAGAAATCCCGTCTTTTCGCAACACGAATTGCGTAAGCGTGACTCTGGTAAGAGTGCGGTCTCAGAAAGAGGTTTGGTCTGGGTAAGCACTGACCGGGTAAGAGAGACACTCCAACATCATTGGGTCGGTATTATCAGTCAGCAACATTGGGGCCGTTTGGTTGCTTTTTCATTAAGTTCTGTATGAATAAAGTTGTCTGTGTGGATTAATCTGTCTGTATAAATTGTGAAAGCTTTTAATTGGGAGGGTTTTTTCAAATGGAAGGAGCTTGTTTTTTAATTGTGAGGAGAAGGGTCTGGCAAAAAAACTTGACTTTCTACATAAAACTCTCCCTAGAAGCTTACTAAATAAGGCACTTCCTATATCATCAAGCCACTACCAAACAGTCATGTATAACTGACAGAAAAAGTTGTGAGTTCCGTTAAGCTCATTAAGGTGCTAACAAACAAGCCCATAATCTCTTACCGGGTAAGAGGTAAGAGACGGTAAGCATTTAGTAAGCAGACCCTAAGTAGAGTAACTAGCATCACTTACTATTTGGGGAAATGTAGTTCGTAGCGTTGCAAGTCTCTTCTGACCGCCATAAATTTCACCCGATGCAATATATATTTGTGTGTTTTTGTCGAAATCCATTGCTCGTAGAACCAATGCCACCTCCTCGGGTGTAAGAGGACACAAACCTTGCGATCTCCTCTCTTCCGACACGATCTCTTTCTCCCTCCACCATGGGAACGCGTACCTGAAATATTAAAATTTTCCTTTTTGTCAAGTTTTTCAATCTAAACTTACATTTCCACATTGCTATCACTGAAAACAACTGTTTTACTTTTTAAGATAGAGGTCATGTCTGCGTACATCTTACCCTCCAGAGAAACCTCTAGGTGGGATATACCGGGATCGTTGGGTTTGGTTTAATTCATGTCTACGAAATTCCCCAATTTAAGTCGTTTAGGGTGCGTTTGGTATCCGGACAAAAGAGCTGGTCAGCTTTTGGTAAGACAGAACTGGACACGACAGAAGAGATGTATGTTTATGTAGCTTCCAATTTTTATTTTATACCTTTTCTATATTATTTTATTATTAATAATATTTAATAAATTACATAAATTAATCAAAATATAGAAACCGTACAAGTGAAAGTTTAAATATCATAAAATACAATATATAAAATTTGAAGAATGAATAAAATGTAAAAGGGAAGCGTATTTGATGTTTCACAATAGAATTATGTTTTATTTTGAGGTTATATTGGTAAAATAGAGGTTTGTTCCACCTTGCTCCATGGAGGGGGTGGAACACGCCTGTTCCACTCTGGTTCCACATAAAAGTCCTGCCAAACGTGGAACAGTGATCTATGTTCTGTTATGCCCTTTAGTGTACCGAATGCACTCTTAAAGTTAGTTTTACCTCATATGTTTGAGTTCCTCGGCTTCCTCATGGGTGCAACCATGTGTACAACCCGAAAACGCCAACATGTCCATCTCGTATCTAAGGTGCAACGCTACAAATGGTCCTTTTTCCCGGAGAATGTGAACCAATTTATCACCGAGAGCTTCTATCCGAGGTGTGAATTTTAATGCTTGGAAATTGACACGACACCTGAGTCTTTGAAGATCAAGAGGTATCCCGTTGTTTGCTAATCGAGTGTCCGTTCGATTGAAGCGTATCACCTTATGCTTGCTAAAAAGTGGTAGAATCTGCATTGCATTTTGGAAACAAAGCAATGATATCATATGGGATCGTAAACTCTAAACATTCTCGATTTCCTAAAGAAATTAAGCATCCTCCGGAATAAGAAATAAACACGGACCTGTTCAAGGTAATATTTTTTGCTTGACCAGCTAACGGGCGGCATAATAAGTGGCTGAAATCCATATTTCCTGTTAAATCTCTTTGGCAATCTTTTAACGATCCGGATTTCATTTCTTAGCGAGTTAATGAAGTGTCCAACGTCAAAAATGTCCTCAAAATCACTGAAACAAACACCATAACGCAAATTCATTCAAAACCAACGTCAAAATATCCATAAAGAGCTCAAATTTATTCAAAAGCAACGGTTTTTCACCTAGGATCAGCCCAGAAAGACGTTTTATCGAGTTCTGGAACAACCAATGTAAGATTTAAAAGACAGGCAACCGTCACCATATCACAAATCTGAAAACGACCAACGTGGAGAGTAAATAAATCGTCGTCAAACTACACAACATAGCCAAAAAAAGCACCACATACCGCAGCTCTCATTTGATTTAAACCCCCGTTACAAGAAACTCTAAGGAAACCATTACTCGTGTAATTCCCTGCATAATAAAACAAAAGCTCGTAAAAGGAATCGAATTTATAACAAAACCCTACAAACTTTTCGGAAAATAAGCAACTGGCCACTCTGCAATTCTTGAAAGTAACACCGAAGCTGTACTGGAAAGGCCCAAAGCCAATCCCAGGGAACAGTGAAGCTTCATAGGGTCTTTTATGTCCAGATGCATGTAGTCCGCATCTTCACGGACATGTCTATTTCACCGAGCCTCTCTCCAAGACAGTGTCCGGATCGTTACGCCTTTCGTGCGGGTCGGAACTTACCCGACAAGGAATTTCGCTACCCTAGGACCATTATAGCTACGGCCGCCGTTCACGGCTTCGGTCGCTGGCTCCCTGAGGTCACCAACTTCCTTGACCTTCCGACGCTGGACAGGCGACAGCCCCCATACATGGTCTTACGACTTTGCGGAGACCTGTGTTTTGGTAAATAGTCGCTCGTCTATGTAGAAAGCTAAGTTTTTTTTCCAAATCTGTCATTCCCATTAAAAAAACAAAATCATTCCATTTATGAAAAAAAAAACCTCTCAAAAGACAGATTAATCCACGCAGACAACTTTAGACTTAATGAAAAACCGAACAAACAACCCTTTAACCTCATTAGATGCTATAAACTAAAAAGATTCACACAAAAACACCCAATTCAAATCAAGATTAAACATTTCCAAAGTACTCACTTGAAGGAGGCAATGGTGGCAGGGATGAAATGGTCTTTTCAACTTGAATAGACAGTCTTCCTGGATCATTCATCCGGTTCGAGAAACTGGTTAACAATTTCGGTTGCCAGAGCTCACCAACAGCTAGAATCTGAACCAAGCAAGTCCAAACCACAATGCTGGAACAAACCCTAATGAACCACACATGTAACCTAGTTCTTTGAATCACTTGACCTTGAATCTTAGCCCACCGAACCACCTGACCACCACTATTCTCAGATCTAACATCCATTTCTCTTCTTCACACCTCATCGTTTCTTCATTCCAGAAAGAAAAAAGAAACGCCTAAATCTTTAAATTTTCAGCCCCACCAAAAAGTTGCAGTTTTCATGAAACCAGTAAGAACCATGAAAGAAGTTGAATCGAAACCTAAGAAACCCCAAATTGGGTGGTTAGGGATTTGCATAAAGATTCGAATTCTCACGAATTAACATCACATTGAAGATATAATGACGTCAAAAACCAATAAAATTAACCTAAATGTTGGAATTTGCAAGAAGAATCAAGATTTGGGGATTTAACATGAAGAATCGAATTAACCTAAATCTTTGAAACGACGAACTGGAGGTTTATGATTTCGCAAAAAGAGATGGAAATTTATGGAAATAGATGAGCAGCGGTGGTGGTTCTTTTGCTGTTAATGTGTGAATGTTTCTTGTTTGTCATGAAAAATAGAGAGATACAGACATCTTTGTGGTGGGGAAATCACAAGGATGGAGAAGAAGTAATTATTCAAAATATTCAATTTTATGTTTAATTTTTTATGTTGCCGATTGTCGATGTTGATTTGATTTTTAAATATTCTTCAAATACATTTTCAATAACTAAAAGATTATATGTGTAATACAACAAAATATATCTTGACTTTAATGTTTCGTTTTATTTCGTCTTTGTAGATATTTTAATATGGTGTCTATGTGGTGTTGGGAAAGGAATAATGTTTGTATTTTTGAATAAAATATAAATTTAAATAAATCATAAAATTTCGAAAATAAATATATTAATATTAATATCAAATTAACTATTTAAAAGTTTTTGTTTTTTATGTAATTTGTTTAATTCATTTTTTATTATAATTTAATTTTGATTTAGTAACAAGTAATTTATTTTTGATTTAATAATATAATTTTTTTATAAGGATAATTATTAAGTATTTTATTAAAACTCAATTATTATCCTAATTATATTTTAGATTTTTTATATTTAAAATGAAATGTTTATCTTATATTTGACTATATTTATCTGCAGTTAGTTACACGCATTTAAACATGAACTTTAATAAGTTGTGCATACGTACAGTTTATTTGTAATCTTGAATTTTAAGTAATATGCATCAATAAACAGTACTTCATACATTAAAAAAATGGTTTTTAAGAGTTTTTGTCAAATGTTTTATAATATATTTATTATTATACTATTTTATTAATGTATTGAACTATTAATTTATATAATATAATTAAAAAATTGAATAAAATATTAATATACGTTTTTCTAAAGACCTACTTTATTGACTTTCAAATATAGAGTCCAACATTTTGAATCTTATTTTCTTAGTGTTTGATTAAAAATGAAAACAACTTCGTTTTTGTATTTTTAGCGTCGGTCTGAAGATGGTCTTATTAGCAACCTTCATTCTTCTCATTTTTGTTGTCACCTCTTCTTTAACTCGTAAAATTAAGAATGATAAAAAGTCAAGAAAACAAAATAATGAGTAAACTATAATTTTCGTTCCTATAGTTTAACAAAAATTCCGATTTTCGTTCTTGTGGTTTTGAAATTGCAATTTCAAAACCACAAGGACACAATTGCAATCTTTACCAACCCACAAGGATGAAAATCGTAGTTTACTCTAAGAAGTCTCCACAATGATAGTTCCTACAAGACATTTTGCTTTTTATTAATAAGAATATTGCATTGGAGATGCTTTAAATGACTACACGGTCTAAAAGTTTTTTACTTTTTTACAAAACAGTCATCAAGTTGCAACTTGCAAGTTAATGTCGCAAGACAGATTTTCGTTCAATGTTGCAAGTTGTGGCATGTCTCTGCAGTGCTGGAAGCTGTGAGTTTAGCTTGTTTTTTGTGCCTAGATACATGTCCTTTCGGTACCACAAGTTGGGGTGTCCCAACTTATTTTTGCGGTGAGCCCACTTTTTATCTGGATGCATCATAAATATCATAAACCATAAAGAAAAGTGTCTTATAACTAGAGGATCGTTTACCTAAATCATTGCCGAGTAAAATGCTTACAAGTGAGAGTCAACACTCTACTCTCACTTACTTTATCAGGTAAGATTATAGTCTATCAAAACAGTATCGAATATAGCAATTTATCCGAGAAGTGTTAATCAGATAAGATTATTTGTCCATGTTATCGCTTTTACCATTGGTCTCTACCATATACATCTGGTAAGGTAATGATTTGATAAACGATTATAACATAATCATTTGGTAAATACAAAAATAAATTTAAATTAAAAATAATTGATAAACCCAAAGATAAAAAGGAGATAATATCATGACTGTTTTAATATGGTATTATTATTGCTTTAAACTTTAAAGTGTTGATATTATTTAAATGGCTGTTTTTCCATCATATGAATTTATTTTATTTAAAAAGTTAATTAATATTATTTGAAAACAAATTAATAACTTGACATTGATTGCATAATCAATGGAAAATATTCATCTAGAAAATTAAAGGTGATTATTTGCAAACTTACATCCATGCAAGATAATTAAAAACAGTTTCATAATTTCTTTTTAATGATGATTAGGATAACATATACCTACCTAAGTTTTATTTATACAAAAATGTAGAAGGGTACTCGTGGAATGTAGCGAGATACATCTCGATTTTAATGTTTCGTTTTATTTTGTCCTCTGTCGATATTATAATATGGTTTTATGTGGTTTTGAGAAAAACGATAATGTTTTTTTTATTTTTGAAATAAAATATAAATTTGAAAATATCTTGAAATTTTTTAAAAAATATCAATATTAGTATCAAATTGACTATTTATAAGTTTTTGTTTTGTTATGTAATTTTTTTAGTTCAGATTCTTTATTATTATAATTAAACATTTTGTTAGAACACAATGATTATCCTAATTATATTTTAGATTTTTTATATTTAAGATAAAATGTTTATCCAATATTTTATTATGTTTATCTGCAGTTAATCACACGAATTCAAGCATGAAGCTTTAATAAGTTGTACTTATGCATTATTTACTTGTAATCTTAAACTTTAAGTAATATGCATCAATAAACAATATATATATATATATATGGTTTTTAAGATTTTTTTTATCAATGTTTTATAATATAATATAGTTCAGAAGTCCTTTTTCAATAATTTTCTTATTCCTAAAATTCATTAATCCAATTTAGACCACATAATTAGATAAATAATATTTGCTTAATAATCTAATTTAATTTAAAATTTTCTCTTCTCCATGACATATACGCATACACACAATTAAAAGTGCACACAAAGTAAAAATACTATAAACATTTATAAAAAATAAAAATACCATTATAATTTGTGAATGCATTGTTAATAGACTTTAAATTTGATTCAATGAACATCTCGATTGATCATAATAAATGAACTTTAATAATCTTTCATAGATATCCAAATTATAATAAATAAACTCTCATTATTTATATCAATATTTCAATTAATTTGTTTTTATGATTTATACTAACAATTAAACTTATAAAATATCTCTCTCTCATATATATATATATATATATATATAATTAACATTATGTAATTATGCATCCATGCATGTTCCAAGATAACTCATAAGTGGAACAATGATTAAAAATTTGTAAGCATGTGAAAAGCGAGTAATTTCCCTTTGACAACAAGTTTTCTTATTGCTCATCAACCGCCATATAAAATCTAGTGATTAAATAATAAATGAAAATGATAATTTTGTATCTATATTTTGTAAAAAGATTTATTTTTACTGATGAATCCAGAGATTATCATGTCTAATATAGCGTATGAATTTGAATGAAACACTGGATATAACTAAAACTGTTATTTCATCATTAAATTAGTGTTGGACTTATTCGGGTTTCTAACCTTTTCTAAACTACCTGATAATAAACCACTAATGTACGGTTTATTCAGTTTTAGGTTACTCGGTTTTTGGGTTTTCCGATTCAATAATAGGTAAACCGAATAAGAGTTCATATTCTTTTTCTGGATACTCGACACCAACAATTTTTTTTCAAATGAATAGTCGCGTGTTGCTTCCAATTTATATCGTCCGAATACATTATTCGGTTAAACAAATTATTTGACCCAAAAAGTGAATGAACCAAATGGCCAAATCTCATTCGGTTTAAATGGATTATTCGGTTTTGTTTCTTACACCCCTACGAGAGTAGATTATGTTTTTCATCCCTATGGTTGGGGCTGTAAACGAACCAAACGTTCAGCGAACCGTTCGGCAGGAAGTTCGTTTATGTTCGTTTATTTAATAAATGAACGAACATGAACAAATTTTTTTGTTCGTTTAGTTAAACGAACGAACATGAACAAGAGTCTCGTTCGTTCATTTATGTTCGTGAACGTTCGTTCATTTACCGTTCGTTTACGTTCGTTCATTTATGTTCGTGAACGTTCGTTCATTTACCGTTCNTTCGTTCATTTACCGTTCGTTTACGTTCGTTCATTTATGTTCGTGAACGTTCGTTCATTTACCGTTCGTTTACGTTCGTTCATTTATCGTTCGTTTACGTTCGTTCATTTATCGTTCGTTTACGTTCGTTTATGTTCGTTTATATATTAAATTTAATATACAATCTTTTATTTAATTACTTAGAATTCAAATAATATTTATTTATATTCGTTTAGCCCGTTCGTTTATGTTCGTTTAGGCCGTTCGTTTATGTTCGTTTAGGCCGTTCGTTTATGTTCGTTTAGCATGTTAACGAACGAACATAAACGAACACGAACACACCTTATTTCTAAACGAACGAACACGAACACAAAGATTTTCGTTCGTTTACCGTTCGTGTTCGTTCGTTTGTTCAGTTAAGTTAAACGAACGAACATGAACAAGCCTCCGTTCGTGTTCGTTCGGTTCGTTTACAGCCCTACCTATGGTTTGTTAGAAATTATAGTTATCGTCCTTGTGGTTTTAATAATTGCAGTTTTAGTCCCTTTCGTTTGTAAATTATTATTATTATTTTCATTCTTATGATTTATAATTTATTGTTGTTTCATTTATTGTGATTTACAAATTTTTATCATTTTGATCCCTTGTATTTAAAGAGGTAAAAATTAATTTAAAGACGTAATAAGTTACAAATTATTGGGACAAATATGTAATTTACTCCCCTAATAAAATGGTACAAAAATGTCCTTTTGGTACTAGAATGATAAATTTTTTATAAAATAGTCAAAAGTGAATTATTGAATCATACTATAGGGACTGTTTATGTAATTATTTCTTTGATCTGATTTGGCCACCGTATTTTTACTTTCCATACTTTCTTGTGCTTCTGGTTTACCCGTGAAGATCTAACAACACAGATGCGACTGAAATCCCATTGACTCTTGGTTCACTTGGGTGTTTGATTCTTCAAAGTTTGTTTCATCAAGAAATCCTCTCTCTACGATAGATCCCTGAATATAGCTGAAATCCCAACTCGAAATCACCTTCTGCAGATCAAGATCTCTGTTAACAATGAAGCTTCAAAGATTTGCAGTCTGTATCGTTGTAATCATAGGGCTTCTATCCACAATCGCTCAATCAATACGTTTCGAACTCGAATCGGGTCATACTAAATGCATAGCAGAAGATATCAAGAGCAATTCTATGACTGTTGGTCATTACTCCATAGTTAATCCTAATGAAGGACAGCCTTTACCTGAATCTCACAGAATCACTCTCAAGGTCAACTAGAAATTCAGTTTTAGATGCTAATTTCGTTATTTATTATGAGTTAGGAATGTAGGGTTTGTTCGATATTGCGATTTGTTTGGGTTTGGGTGTCTTTGAACTCTATTATATTGTTTTTTTTGGCAGATGTGAATTTATATGACTTATATGTTTTGGATTCTTATTTAATTTTTGGGGCCTTACGAATTGAAACTTGGGATTTAACTCTATATGAACTAGAATTTGGTATTATCGATTTTTCTTGTTTCCAATTAGGTTTTATGAACGAATTATGTGTTTGGGATATGGTTTTCATAAAATCTCTGTTGGATTCTTGATTTAGGGCTCAGGATTTGTTTAAAATTGTGAGGTTTTGCTTGAATTTTTGCTGGGATATATGTGGGTTTTGTATGATACTCAAATTGGTAACAAATATGTGATTTCTTTGAAGCTTTTATTCTTGCCTTATGCGGGATGGTTGGATTGAAGTCTTGTTTTGGTTATTGTAATTTGTGTAATGCAGGTGACTTCGGCATATGGGAATAGCTATCACTCTGCTGAAAATGTGCAATCGGGTCAATTTGCTTTTCAGGCTGTCGAGGCTGGTGATTATATGGCTTGTTTTTTTGCTATCGATCACCAACCAGCGCTTAAGATTCCTATCGAATTTGATTGGAGGTCTGGTGTAGCTGCCAAAGATTGGTCCAATGTCGCCAAGAAAGGTTCAGTAGATGTAAGTCTATCTATCCATCCATCTTTCTGATCACATCTTGTGTTATGCATATATACAGGGTCAGGTTCAGGGGAAAACCGCAAAAAAAATGGAAAACTAAGGAACATCTTAGTAACCGTTCATCTAGACGGTATGCATATGTGCATACAAGTAATCTGTAAACAATTTGTACATATGCACATGTGCATAAAAACCAAGAAACAGTTCTAATTACTTGTATGCACATTTGCATATGGTCCAGATGAATGCTTACGAGGGTGTTACTCAGTTTTTCATTTTTTTGGGGGTTTTCCCCTGAACCCACCCCTCTCTCTCTATATATATGTGTGTGTGTGTTATATTTTGTAGTTCCTATTTCAACACGAAAATATCCTATTATGCAAATGCACAGATAGATGGTGTCGATGATTGGAGCATCATCAATTGAGTGACGTATAAGAAACTCCTTTTTGCACTTTTTTTGGTCATATCATTGCCAACTCTCTTATCCATAAAGAAAGAGCTTAGAACAAATATCCTATCTCTCCTACTTTCTCCATTTGGAGCAAGTTTTGGAGCAATAGCGTAAGTTAAAAACTCCAAAATCTCTATTTTCTCCGTTTTGAGAATTTGTTAGAGATGCTTTCTAGTTGTTGATTAATATTTATAACACATAATAGGGTATCGTGCATCTTGATATGTATACGTCGATAACTCTCCTCATTGGTTTGAGCTATGAAGTATGATATCATCGTTCAAATGGTACTCTTGAAGATTGCAATACTTTTCTTTTTAGAATGTCTAATGAAAATTCCAACACTTCCTTGTGCCGGAAGTTTTCACTTTTCATGTTAAGTTATTGTTGGAGAACCTAGAAGGGGGATGGGGCGAATAGGTTGTTACTGCTGTTTACGATTCTTGTTGGTTGTTTACATTTTGGAAACGTAAATACAAAACAACTCATAAAACACAAAATCAGACGAATCACTGATGTAGGAAATAAAGAGTTTTAGTAGAAGAATTGACACAAGTATTTAGAGTGGTTGAGAACCTTGTCCTAGTCCACTTTTCCCGAGACCCATCTCGAGAGACAACTTCACTAGAATAATTGTGATGCTTAATGATGCAAACACAAACCGATACAATATAGGACACCTGCTGATACAATGGAGGTTCACGAGCGATGACTCCTGGCCATTCGTGGTCGCCTGATTAGTCGGTGTTCTTAAGCTAGCCCAGATTTCCACTGATACAAAAAAAATGGCTTTTTTTCCTGTATCACTTTCAAATGCATCTCAAGAAATGTTATTTCAATGGGAGTCACTTGGCTTATTTGGATACATAAAACGCGAAGTGATCCTCGGGATATCTTCGGCTAGAAGCTTCGTCGTTTCTTGTCTTTTTGGCATGATTTCCAAGGGTCGGACTCCGAGCTTCCTACACTAACAAGTTGTAAACTTGCAGATAATTCAAGATTAACAAATGTAGGATGCACAACATTAAACAAGTTCGTCAATACTAATGGATGTTTTGTCAAATCATTTAAACAGTCTTAAGTTGAAATCGTAAACTTTGTGTATTTTGCTGCAGGCGATGAACTTTGAGCTGAAGAAACTGGGAGATGCCATAACTTCGATTCATGAGGAGATGTTTTATCTCCGAGAGAGGTTAGGCTCTGTTTATTAGCAGCTTAATGAGCTTAATGGGACTCATAGTTTATTCTGTTAGCTATACATGACTATTTGGTAGTCGCTTAATTATATAGAAAGTGACTTATTTAGTAAGCTTCTATTCCAAACCTGCCTCTTCCAATTAATAAACATGCTCTTTCCATCTATGGAAAAGCCCTCCCCAAACAAAAACCTTCCCAATCTATACAGAAAAATTAATTTACACAGACAACTTTATCCATACAAGCCTTAATGGAAAACCAACCAAACAGCCCCTTAGTGAATCTATTTACAACGAAAACAAGATGACTCAAAAAGTGTCGATCACTTTGTGGTTAAATGCAATCATCAATCGTTCTTTCTTTCAAAACTCGTTCTTAAATTTTGAAGTTTTCTGCAAATTGGTGTTACAGGGAACAAGAAATGCAAGAGCTTAACAAAATCACGAACTCAAGAATGGCGTGGTTGAGTTTTCTTTCGCTGTTTATATGCTTATCGGTGGCAGGTTTGCAGCTTTGGCACCTGAAATCGTTCTTTGAGAAGAAGAAACTCATTTGAGATCCCTCTGTTCGATATTATGTTTTCGTGTACAATTTTTCGTCTCTTAAGAGTCAACACACGCTCATTACTTGTGTCTCTAAATACTTGTAGACGTCCTGGGAACTTCTTGTTAGGATCGAAAATCGCATCTAAATCTGAGAAATTAAAGATCCCTTACTTACGATTCCGCTTTTCGGCACCGGGTTCTTTTGTGCATCTCTAGCCATGATGTAGAATTGTGTTTGGTGTTCCTTCCATCATTGCAAAATGTTAAATTCTTTAAATTGTTTCACTCCTAAATATTTAAAAATTAGGAGCTGAAATTCGAACTTGACCGGGCTTTCTCGGACCTAATTTTTTGTGCATGATGGCTATTTTGACCGGGCTTTAACCCAAAAAACCAGATTTTATCTGGGCTTTTTTGGGTTGGGCTTGGATTGGGTCTTGGAAAATAACATGGTCTAATCGGGCTTTCAAGCCTAATTTAGACCTATTGGTGATTTAAGTGAAATCATAAAGTCATATTATACCATTGGATTCATAAAAAAGATACGGGGTTGTTAGTTAAGCTATAACATAATCTCATAATCACTAGAATCAGGGGCGAATACAAAGTTTTTTTTTCAAACGATGACATCATTTGACTATAAGGAAAAAAATATAGGGAAAAATTTTCACCGTTTTACTACAAGAAACAAATATACGGAATTTTCTTTTCAAAAAGTGACACCGTTTGACTAAGAAAATGACACTAATAGAATTCGAACTTGAGTCTGAGGTGGAATAAAAGTCTTGCAAACCAACTATACCAAATAAACTTATTCTCATTGTAGTTTCAAAATACATACGATGACACACAACAAATTAATACGGTTACACCTTTCACGAACCAAAATTTTTTTACCCTTCAACAGAGGAATTACGGTGGCACATGCCACATATACCATTAAAATAGGTCGGTCTCTAACTAGAATTCTCTCCCATTTTTTTTAATATCTAAAATATTTCATATGTGAAAATTTTCAAGTGCCACGTTCCCACCAAAGTTTTCATAACTTCCAAAAGGTGGTCTAAAAACTTGGGTGTAAATGTCGCTTTTATCCTTGACTTATTGTGGCTTATTCATTAATTAATGATTGCCAAGTTTCAACTTCAATGAATAAGCCAATATTTTCAACATATATCATAAAACTAATAATATTGTTTTTTGAATTATTATAATTCTAAAGGATAAACCAAGATAACCGTGACATGTTAAAATTTTCATGTTCTTCTGTTTTTTAAAAATATTTATTTATAGTTCTTTTTTTCTATAATATCATAACGTCTTAATACAATAAGAACCTTAATAGAACTTTTACATTATACAAAATTAATTGGATACTTACTAAGCGTTTTTTTGTTAGTATCTTAATGAGTGCTTTATGCAGCCAAGTTTTTTCCAACTCATCCTCCCAATTGAGAAAAATGACCTACCATCTATAAAAAAAAACTCAACCTATACAGACATATTAATCAATACAGACAACTTTATTCATACAAGACTTAATGAAAAATCAATACAGACAGCAGACTGTTTGGTTGATTTTATATTAAGTCGTCTATCAATGAAACTATTTATTTGGATTAATATATTTGTTAAGACTAAGAATTTTTTTGTTTCAAAAAGAGTTTTTCATATATTGAACAAATGTGTTTTTCAATTGGAATAGATATATTAAAAAAAAAACTTGACTTTTTACATAAACATCTTCCTAAAAGTTCATTGAACAAGGACCTGTTTTACAGTTGCTGAATGGTTTGATGCAAAATAATTAAGATGCTCTCATGATATAGTACAAGATTAAATATAATTGTTTGGTGATTGTTTACAATGAAATTAATGCGCTGAATTGTTAAGGAGATTCATGATACAAAATAATTCAAAAGATTTTATAATCATTAAAAATAGATTTTTTTGTCAAACAAGATTCACCTCTTATCGATTCAAAAATTATTTTTTATATTTAACCACAATTACAACTGCTGCGTAAAGCTGATTAAGTTGACGCAAACAAGTGGGGGCAATGGTTCACGCCTACAGCTGCCACAGCCGAAAATTAAATACGGACATACCCACCACATCACATTTCAGATAAAGTCAACCCTTTGACCTTCTCAACCGTCAGCAAAATAAAAATAAAAATAAAAAACTCCAATAATGTACCTTACCGCCATTTTCATCTTCTCCAATCCAAAACACAATTTTCCGGTGGTCAATTCTCTCTCTGCATGGATGGCCGTCGCCACCATCTTCCTCCTCCTCCTCACCCTCTCTACCACCTCCGATTCTGCTCCCACTTTCACCGCCTCCATTCCCGCCAACTTCACAGCTTCCCACTTCCAGTTCATCGACCAATCCGGCGACTTCCTCCGCTCCATTAATCGCACTTACACCGCCGCCATCGCCAACCCACAGCCGACGTCTCCGTCGTTCTACCTTCTCATCTACCACTCCCAATCCCACACCGTCGTTTGGTCCGCCAACCGCAATAACCCCATCTCAAATTCCGGTCAACTCCGACTATCCAACACTGGGTTAGCGATCTACGACGATTCCAGCGTACGCGTTTGGTCAACGCCTCCGATCGCCTCCACGGTCGCTTCTTTGCAGATGCTGGAATCTGGAAATTTAGTTCTTGTCGACCGGTTTAATTCAACTTTGTGGCAATCTTTTGATTATCCGACGGACACCGTCGTCTCCGGGCAAAGATTTCCGGTGGGTGGATCGTTAATCGCGTCGAAAAGTCTGGGTGATTTCTCGGAGGGAGATTATACGTTTGAGATGACCGCCGGCGACGGGATATTACAGTGGCAAAGTTTAACGTATTACAGACTTTTAATGGATTCCAAATCTATCAAAAATTCAAACCAACCGTTTTCGTATCTCATGGTAAATGGGTCGGGGTTTTATCTGTTCGGAGACCCGGGATCGGGGTTGGCGGCGCAGGTATTGATAACGGCGGCGACTGGAGATTCCGATTACCGGATTTTGAAGATGTCAACCGACGGTTATCTCATTGTTATGAGATATACGAATAATGTTTGGGTTACGGATTTCACGACGCCGGCGGACGATAGTTGCCGGACTCCTTCCAGGTGCGGTAAACTTGGAGTTTGTTCCACCGGCGGCGATTGTTCTTGTCCACCCGGATTTCGAGGTGATCGGAGCTCAAGTGGGTGTTCTCCGTCTGATAGTTCACTGTCGTTGCCGGAATCTTGTGGTGGTAACAGAACTCAACGGCGATCTAACTCGTCGGAGAATTATATCTACATTCAGCTTGGAAATGAAATGAAATATTTTTCAATTGGTTTCATAAATCCGATTAAAGAAGGTGTGGATTTATCAAGTTGTGAAGATCTTTGCTCTGCAAATTGTTCTTGTTTGGGTTTCTTCCATGGAAATCCATCTGGATCATGTTATCTGCTTGAAAACCATCTGGGTTCCGTCACCTCAAGCTCTAACAATGGAGTCGGAGATCCATTAGGGTTTATCAAAGCAATATCTTCATCATCTTCATCTCGAAATGTCGACGATAATTCGAATTCCGATTTCCCGGTGATCGCTTTGGTGTTACTTCCGGCCTCCGGCGTTCTGCTAATCTCCATTTTCACAATCTGGATTCTTAGAAGAAGAAGAAGAAGCAAGAAGATGGTTTTGAGATCGAAGAAATCGATGAACAATTCGTTCTCGGGAGAGCTCGAGGTGTTCTCGATTGCGGGTTTACCCGTACGGTTAACTCACGGGGATCTTGTCGAGGCCACGGCGAATTTCGGTACTCAGATCGGGTCCGGTGGATTCGGGACGGTTTACAAAGGCGTCCTCCGCGATAAAACGGTGGTGGCAGTGAAGAAGATCACGGCTTTGGGTGCTCAGGGGAAGAAGGAATTCGGGACGGAAATCGCGATCATCGGTAACATTCATCATGTGAATCTTGTTAAGCTCAAGGGCTTTTGCGCCCAAGGAAGTGAGCGGTTCTTGGTGTACGAATATATGAGCCGTGGTTCGTTGGACCGCACCCTCTTCGGTAGCGGACCGCCATTGGAATGGCAAGAAAGGTTCGAGATCGCACTCGGAACCGCTCGTGGCCTTGCGTACTTGCACAATGGGTGTGAACACAAGATTATACATTGCGACGTTAAGCCCGAAAACATTCTTCTAAACGACAATATGCAAGTGAAGATCTCGGATTTTGGGCTCTCAAAATTGTTGAGTCCGGAACAATCCGGATTGTTCACAACGATGAGAGGGACTCGAGGGTACCTAGCACCCGAGTGGCTAACAAATGCAGCGATCTCAGATAAGACCGATGTTTATAGCTACGGTATGGTTTTGTTGGAGTTGATTCAAGGACGAAAGAATTGCGTACAAGCGACGAACCATAGCTCCGGAAACCCGACAAGTAGCACCGATGGGCGGTCTTCGGGTTCATCAGGATCCCGAAACCATCCTCGTCCACGATCATTTTATTTCCCATTACACGCATTGGAGATGCATGAAGAGTGTCGGTATTTGGAGCTCGTGGAACCTAGATTAGCGGGCCGGGTGGCAAAAGACGACGCCGAGAAGCTCGTGAAGGTGGCTCTGTGTTGTTTGCACGAAGACCCGTCGTTGCGGCCCACTATGGCGAACGTGGTCGGGATGCTCGAAGGAGTGTTGGCGGTGGGTGAGCCGCGGTTGGAGTGTTTGAACTTTTTAAGGTTCTACGGAAGGCGGTTCACGGAGGCATCAATGGTGGAAAGCGGGGCGGAGGCGGAAATCCCGGACGGGGTTATGGTGGCCAACAATGATAATAGTAGTAGTGCCACGGCATCTCTCAACTCGTTTTCGTATATGTCGTCGCAACAAGTCTCGGGTCCTAGGTAGCAACGGCAAAACATTGTTTGTTGATTTTTCGGTTTTTATTGACGGAAAATTCTAACCGTTTAGTTTCGTAACGTTAAATGTTACGAGAATAAACGGTTAGAATGTTTGTAACGTAGCTTTTTATGGTTTTCAGGTTTTTTGGATTGGTTTTAATGTAAAGGATTACCTTAATTTAATCAAAATAGCTCAGTTTTCTAAACAGTCAAATTTACTCTTTAATCATTTATTAATTGAATTTTTATTTTTAGTTGGTGTCTATGTGAATTTATATTTCCATAAAGAATTTATTTTTTATTTATTTTTAATCTGCAAAATTGTAATTACGTAAATCCATAATGTAAAATTTTGGTTCTAAAAGTAAAAAAAAAGAAAATAAGAATTTAATTGGGAAGATTGACTATTGAGGCAAATTTCTCCTTAATTTTTAGTGCTTAAGTTGGTTTTATTACTTCATCAATCTCAAAATAAGTGCATACATTTATATTTTAATTTGTTTTTAAATAAATATTTTAAAATCAAGTACCTATTTTTTAATTTTACTTTTAATTATGAGATGGAGAAATTTATTACTTTTAATATTTTTTTTGAAGTATATAATACTTATATACGGCAAATGCAACAAATAAACTCACACACCCTCCTCACCTTTGGTGAGGTTTAAACCCTTGACCTCCTAGGAAGCCAAGGGCTACGATACTGCTAGGCCAAAGGCCCTTTGGTTTATTACTCTTAATATATATGTATTAAAAAACCAAAAGAGAACTAATCGATATATATATATATATATATATATATATATATATATATAGGGTATACTTCATATGCATCCATGTTCATTTGTATAACCAATGCAATCCAATCAATTGGGTTATTTATGGAAATGATAAAAGTTCATTGATTATGATTTGAATATTTATGGAAGATGACTATGATTCATTAACTATGATCAATATTTTATATTAGAAAACAAATCAAAACTTTTATGAAATCACATATTCATCAAATTAAATAGACAGTTGAGATTGAGTTGTATTGGTTGTACAAATGTAAAGTGTTGCATAATAACTCACCTTTATATATATATATATATATATATATATATGGACCTAATCAAATGAGAACTAATTAGTTTGTGGTAACTGTGAGAACCAATATTAACCACAAATCAATAGATAAATTAG